AAGCAAAAATTACTCTCTGATGTGTTAAAGATATTTTAGGTAACATTAGATTTGTTCATAGGAAATGGAACTGAATGGCTACACAACATTCCATAATCACGCTGTCTTTCGTTCCATATATACCTGTCTCCCGACAAAACAAGCAGCAGCTCCGTGAAACATTAACACCTGGTGCACACTGACAACAGTTTCAACAAATCTCACACTTCAGAAAATCAAGTGATTTTTACTTTCTGCAGGGTATAACGCGTTAAATAACTATACGGGAAATGAAAGCAGCCCCCAAAGTCAGCAGTACAAAATGTCCATGAATGATGTATTCAATCACGATATCGTTTACTTCTGTGATGCGTGAATACTTAAGAGCCTGTGAAATCGAGCCAAACGTAAATACAAGAAAAAAAAAAGACTGGTAACGGACCACATTGATATGAAAATTTGCACACACAAAACGATTTTCGGTGGCCTCATAGTTTAGGTAAAAGGGGGAATCGAGAATTATTTTTTTAAGCCAATTTAGCCAAGAACATAACGCACGTGAGTGGTTTGTGAATTGAACGACCATGATTGTCTAGCCTTTCATTATCGCGAGAGTGCATGTCTGATTTAATTGTTGCGACTGGAACTAATAGAAGACTCTTTGACGGACTATACGTAGTAACGTTAGTTACGTAGACCATTGGAGACCATTAAAAAGCCTGTCTCTCATCAAAGGTGTGGTTTGCTCCTACTTCACTATCAAACATCTATCGACCTTATCTCCCCTTCTTTTTTATGTTTGTTACGCCCTTGTAACACCTCTAATCTGCTGGCGCTCATATGACCTTATGAAGATGCAAGCGTCGTAAATCCTCTACTAAAACTACGTTACTCTCATCAAAGTACCCAAACCGTAGCATTGTGATAAAAACTTAGATACAAAACAGCACAGTATCTGTTGTACTTGCAGCGCTTGATGAGATCAACTAAGTTTTGACAAAATTGCTCTCCAGCCAAGCATTCTGTTTCTTGATGTAAAATGATAATAAAATATCCATCGGATGATTTGATATCTGGAATCATGTACATCATTGGATACTTGTCCAGCGAATTGAATGTTACAAGGGAAAGGCAGTTGGCATCCATGTTACCTTTCTGAGTATATAGATGTACACTGAAGGTGTCATTTGTGGCTCTGAGGTTGACGTGTAATGACCCTCCGGTGCTCACGGTCGTCAGTTGCCGTTTAACATTCAGCTATACTAAGGCCAGTCCATGTCTTATATAATATGT